GCAGTAGTTATGTTTAAATGCATTGGGAAATAATATATAATATTTATCACTATGATTATTATAATTGAGTCGTTTCGCAATTTGTTGAAATTTTATTATTTAAAAATAGCGTTAACTATTTCTATTGTTTGTAAGATCACAAAATCGTAAAAATTTTCGATGGTTTTTATAAGAGACGGTATAAGAAGAAACAATAATGAAATATAATAAATATATGTATATATATTTTAGGCCCAATGAAGGTTTAAAATTTGTGTTTTGTAAAAAGCAGTTAAATATTTTTTTAATTATTTATAGGTTTTACTTCTTTTAAGAATAAATGCATTTTTAAGTGTTCAACTAACTTCATTTTCTTAAATTAATCAAGATTTTAATCAATTTATTTAAATCATCTCAATCCTTCTATAACACCTTGAGGTCAAATAGCATGATAGTTACGTCTCGAATTTTGCTATGTGGTCGTCCATGGGAATCAAACAAAACTTAAAATTTTACTTGTTTGTCAATTTCTGCATTACGCTTTTCGGGAAAAAATGATGAAGGTTTTTTGTGTCCTGTTTTTTTTTTAAAACCAAGTTATTACCTAACAATTTACGTACGGAAAAAGCAATATGGAAATGAGTAGCAGATCGCGTAATAATTGTTATGAAATAAGTATGGTTGTTGTAAAACGCGGCCTCTGTCTGAATATTGGTTAATACTTCATATAGGTATTACGATTACAATAATATATTATAACTTGTTAAAGCGGTTGCAAAACGTTATTTCTGAAACATTTTACATGTATACATACATAAATGCATATTTCACATGAGGTATTTCTTTACGGTGTCGTCATTTGGCGGTAAGTTGATGATGTATTACTCCATAGAACGTGAATGAAACGAAATGTCCGTCCAGATTATTACAAAGTTGCAATTTTTTTTTATATCGAGTAGATGCTTAGCTGTTATGCTTTTAATAATGTATATATTCCTTCTTGTTATGCCAATCATCACACTAATGTACAACAAAAGTAATTGTTTTAATTTTATATTTTTATCGAATTCCAATTATGCCAAGGATCTGGACCATGAAGTTTCTGAAACTTGTGCCGAAATCTTGGAAATTCTATCAAAAAAAAAGAAAGATTATAGTTATTTTTCCGACGAAAATGTACATACATAAACTGTTTTAAATGTGCACAATATGCAATAACAACTTACCTACCAATTCGCTTGATTTATGCTAGGTTTTACCCGTATCGTCGCTCCCCTTGATGTTTTAAATACTTGTCAAAGATCATCGACGACTACATAAAACTAATTGTTTTTATCCCTAGGGACTGATACATTTTTCCAGATATAGGGTACCCTATGTCCTTTCAGATGTACCCCTGACAATGTGTGTACAAAATTGAGTAGAATTGGAAGCAAATAAACAAACACATTCCGATTTATAATATTGGTATTTGTTGATAGTGCGTTTTTGAAATCAAGAACCTCCTTTGTAAAAAAATGCAACAAAGAATGATGTGTAGTGTAAATTTGTACCTGTCCTAGACCAAAGCCAAAATAGCGAGGTCATTGGATGAAAATTGCGCATATAATTGGTCAAAAAGAACCCATTTATTACGCGAATTTCATAGCGCTGGCAACGTAATGAGATACCTGTGATGTAGATCGAACAACAGGTTTAGCAACTAGTTCCTACATGAGTGTGATTGTCCGTAGTAAAGAACGCCTTGCACTCAAGGCAGTGGGTTCTGTCTTCTTCGGCTGATCCAAATGCACCTGTCATTAAAAAGTTTGTCAAAAATAGTCGAATTTCGTTTTTTTTAGAGAAAATAAACAGGTACATACAATTGAAATCCAAGGACTTGACATTTCCCTGCTTATGGATAGATCTAAATCTAAAGAACAAGAGGACTTTACAAAGAAATTACAAAAAAATTCCCGATTCTGAAACAAATAGAAGTTTTTTAATATTCGTCGATTTAACAAAATTAACTTCTAAGACTGATAACGACAAAAACTATTTAATTACATTAATTATTAAAGAACTTAAAAACACTATTAAATTATTACTAAACTTAGGTTATGAATTATTCTATTTATTTACACTACTGTTGATACATCACTATTCACTGCGCTATTTATTTCACTGCTATCAATTTATTTATCTCAGCGATCGTCTCTTCTTTTAAATACTCTTGTTTACTTTCGGGAACCTTCTGGAAACATCCGGATAGTTTATTTTTTCTTTGAACTGTTTAACTGCTATTCTCTTTTGCGATGCCGCTAAAAAATGCATTCCAGAACATTTTTCCACTAATAGACTGGGAAAACGAACATTTAAATCCCAATTTAATTTTTATGTAAGATTTGATATTAATGTAGAACAATTTTCATAACGCAGGTGCATTCAGGTAACTTCTTTTTGCACGTCAACCAAAATTATACAATACAAAGGTCGTTTGCATGGTCCCAGAGCGAGAATCGAGCACCTTATGTTGCTAACAACAGCAGCGGACCATAAAAACTTCTGCGCTATCCTTGCATATGTATAATGCGAATGTATTTATGCAAAATGTGTACTGATTAACTAAAATTTATTATTGAAAAGATGCCAGCTGTTAATACAAATGTCTTATAATAATTGTTTTGCAAAAGTTTTTTATCATCATATGCTATTCGAACTCGTTCCTACGTATTTCCTGAATAAGCTGTTATTTTAATCTAAATTTAGAAGAAAGAACAGTGGATAAAAAATTTCTCCATTTCGACACAAGCAACATTTGTTTGAGTTGGAGTTGGAGGACTGTTTATGGTGGAGGTAATAGTCAATTTTGATTAACATAAGGAATTGTTATTTTGATTCTTTATCTATTCAGGCTTAAACCTGTTCTTCATCGATGATGTCCATTCAGGACGCAAATTATAGCTCCTTCTCTTCCTTGGGACGACTTATCTCTAGCCTTTTTTATCATTTTGTCTTGTTCCCTTCTATTTAAGTGTTTATTTCATTTTCTTTTCGTGTTGTGTGTCCCTTATGTAATATTTTCCACTTTACTAAGTGTCCTTATATTTTTATTGTCGTACAGGGTTTTCCCAGTGATTCTGCGAAGTATTATCACTTAAGATATTTCTAATATTTTTTTTGCTTTAGATATGTCAGGTCTAGTCTCAGCCATGGGTCTTATGGTGCTTTTATTGTATATTCTTGTCTTTGTGTTTATGTTTAGGTGTTTATTCCTCTATATGGTGGCGTTCAAGCAGCCTGCGATTTTGCTAGCTTTTATAACTTATGTTGCAATAGATACTTCATTTTCGATATCCCCGAAACTTGATATTTCGACTCCTAACTATACTTGAATGGCATTAATAGATCTATAACATTCTGGTTCATTTATAGCTTACATCGAAGTGGTTCGCTGTCATGTATTTAGTTTTTTGAGGACTATGATCGTGTTGAATTACTTTGCTATATCCCTACTGCTACATGTTTTTTTGTAGGTCGGTCTCATTTTCCGGAAGGAAGGGTGCATCATCGGCTTAACAGAGGATTGTAACTTCTCGGTAGCTCATTCTGTAACCTCGTTTTGATAATTTTTATTACTTCATTCATCCTAATGTTTAATAGCAGTGGTGTACTCAATGAGTCTCCTTATGAAATCCGTATGTTTACAGGTATTTCCTTTTTGTTTTCCCCAATTGTCTTGCTTCTTTATGTTTTAATTAAAGACATACTTAAATTTTCAATACATAAAACAAACATCTAACAGAAACAATTTTGGCGCGATTGATCGTACACTTCGTTTTATTGCGAGATCACGCATTGCTTCAATATAAGGTACACGATACAAACGTGTGTACTAGCTGTCATAAATTGTAACGCAACAACGTAAAAATAATGTTCGTATCTTTCGTAAAAGTTAAATAAAAACTAGTGTGATAGCGGCGCTTGTTTGCTTAATCACTTAGCGAACGCTTCGCAATACTTAGGAAACCACGAAGCGAAATCATGAAAAAGTTCATCGTTGGATAGATATGTCGCAATCGCATATACTGTAAAATCTATCAAATCACTTATTTATATTCGGCTAATGATTAATGTAAGAATGTAATGGCTTCAAATTGAGCAATGCTGCCGAAATGATCGAATAACTTAAGTCACACAAAAATCAAGCGGTAACTTATGTCGTTTGTGTTGTCTTTTCCTACTTATAACCTTAAGATTTTATGATTATAAGCATATCGTCCTTAAAGAAACTGGACAGCACAACTTATTGTTGAACTTAATAAGTATTACGTAAACTTTCTTCATTACAAAAATATCCGGCAACAATGACTGGGGATATTTACAATAGAAATACTTCAAACAATAAATTCCTGCGGTTCGGAATGTGCTCATGGATAGCGCTTCATGCCAATGTTTGTTTTAATTTTTCTGTTGCCATTGCTCAATTTTGTACACAGTAAATTTCTTAGGTATTAGGCCTGTGTTTGTAAGCATCTCCAGGTGTTAGTAAAGCAATGAGGATTGTTCCGGAAAATTTTTGTTTTGTTTGTAATAAAATCCGCGTTTGTGGCTTTCTGGGTGAGCGTGATTATAATATGTTCTGATAAATATCTTACAAAACTATTCACATCGGTTTACTTATCTAGGTAAGTCAAATATTGCCCAACAGCGCATTTTATTGCGAAAAGTTTGATTTGATTTCGTAGGACAGTAATAAAGTTAACTGAATAGGTTTGTTTATGTTTATTAACACCGTTCTTAATTATTATTATCTATAGAAGATAATGAAGTTCTGCGAAAAATTATCCTTGTAATAAAACTAAACAAAACAAAACCGAAGTAGCTTCAATTCAGCATGTAAAATTTCCTGATTCTTTTGTTTTGTCAATAAGATTTTATTAGGGTGTATTATTATTGGTAAAAAACCTTGTTACTTTTAAATTTATGAAAAAGAGCAGTTGTTTTTCTAGTGTTTACAAAGTTTCTTTTGTTTGTTTCAGAACGGAATTAAAATTAGAATCGTTAGAAGATGCAGTAGTATTAGAAGAACCCGAAAGTGATTTATTACATGACAAAAGGGGATGCCCAGCTTACGTTAGTCCTGAAATCCTGAAAGCTGGAGCACACTACTCCGGGAAAGCAGCCGATATGTGGTCCTTGGGAGTTATTCTGTATACCATGTTAGTTGGAAGGTAAGTTTACAAAATTTTCATTTTTCATTTTACGTAAATTCAAAAAAAGCTTTGTGAACAATTATAATGCATTGTTCCTTATTTACGTCAACTTTTATTAAGTTTCGTCTATTTGCCTGGACGAACTTTCCAGGACTTCTTCTTCTAGAAATCTTTAGAAGATCCTTAATAAATGCCCGAAAATCACCACTTAATTATTGATGATCACAAAAAGCTTCATTTAGTTTGTATAGAGAACAATTGTTCATGAGGTTTTGCTTGTGCTTTCATGGATTGATGATGTACGTAAGTTTACAAATTTACAGACTTATATTCTCTTCTTCGCTTTTACTATTGAAGTGTTAAAAAATTCGTTCAACAACTAATAGCTGTCGTTAGACGAAGGCGATTTTCAGTTTATCTACATTACTGATTTTGTTTGCAGCAGATATTTTTGTATGCACCAAAGAAAGCTTTCGTTATTCATCTAGAATTTACACAAGTAACTTTCTAAATTCAGTCCCGTTATCATTCATTGACAGTTTCTTATTCAAGACTTATTTAGACACTCGTTTTGATCATTATCGAAAAAGAATGATGAAGTTACCCAAACACCTGCTCTGATTGTAATTTTGACATATCAAAAGGACGCTACGTCGATTAACCCTTGAATTTCTGCACCTGCTCTGAACATGCAGGTAAAAAAAGGGAAAAACGAAAGAGATTTCTGGGTTAGAAGCTATACGATGCATGCATGTGTACTTGTATACACATTGTTGCATGCAGTAAAAGGTGCAGTCTGAACCGCGGGCTAAAAACAGATTTCACCTGCTCAGGCTTCAGCAGCACCCTTGTGCTCGTACATTTAGTCCAAGATGGACATAATGATGAAGATTATTTTATATGCATGCACCTGTTCCATAACTCGGAGTGCTGCAGTTCGGTAGCTTAATATCATCACGTATACAGTGAGTTTTGGTTAACTAAAAACTGACCAAAATGACTAACAAAATATGGCAAAGTATTGAACCCGAAAAAAACTTCCCCCTGATGTTAATCGCGTTGCCATTTCATTCATATTTACCCGAGATAAAAATGTTTAGTCTCTCAGAGTTTCTGAAAGCGAGACTCGAGTCTCCGTCTCTCATCGAGTCTCTCTGGTGTCGCTGAGAGAGACTGTCAAAAAAACTGTTTAGCGTCTCTGAACGAGTCGCTCATAGAGAGATCCTTATTTCGTATCCAGTCTCTGAACGAGACATTCAAATCTCTGAACGAGAGACTCGAGTCTCTCAATTTTTCAGTTTTATTCATTCAGTCTTTCTGTGAGAGACTCGAATCTCTAAATTAACAATTTTATCGTTCGAGTCTCTCATACAGAGACTGTGAGAGATCCATAAAAACACCTAGGCAATAACTGAGAGACGTTGAAAGACTCTGAAAGACTGTGAGAGACTGGAGAGAGACTGAAAATTTTTGTCTAGGGTAAACAATTATAAAAACTAGGAAAGAGGACGTTATATATGGAGACCTAATCGTGAAGTAACATACAAAACCAATCACATAAAATTTCGTTGATGTATGCGAAACAACGCTATAACCGGAGTCGTTAATAGTGGCTTCACTGTAGTTTGAATATTTAGTCTTTAATCAAATTTGTTTTGTAATGAAAAGTTCATTTTAACTAGATCATATACAGGTTACGTAAGACGATCAGGATAATATATAATCGTTGATGACTTTGTGTTAATTTTTAGTGTTAATTTAACAGTAAACGTATATAATAATGAAAACAAAATGAATTACTAGGTAATAGTTACTTGGTAGCAATTTACATAATCTCATATATATTTTTTAATCATAACTTATAACTTTTTTTTCGTATAGTTTATTCATTTTTTTTGCTTACTACACGAAATCAAATTTACTGTTTCGCCAAGAGAGGTAGCGTTTTTTTATAATGTAAATTAGAAATTTTGGTAGCGCTTTTGCATAATTAATGACTATAAATCCAATCGGCTATTAAGTAATAAATTTAAGTGTATTATCCAATTTGGCGCTATAGAAAACTGTAGTAGAACGAGAAAGCTCATTCTCTACTACACTATACGTCTGTTTAAGGCTGTATGGTAGTTTCAATCATCATGGTCTACCTTGAATTATAGGAGTAATGACATTTGTAACAAATTCAGCAGGTGTTCTTTACATCCATTGTTGTTTTCTGTTTTCTTGAAAAGGACAATACAATGACTAGTAGGTATAGTCATCAGGGTGCAATACCTAATAAGTGTGCCGTCATCTTTTCCCAATTATCGTCAATAGTCCACGTGACACCGGTCTTTTAGCAACAGCTTGTCATTGCTTTTACATTTTTTTCCAATGCAGAATGCCTTACCTATTTCACTTATTCGACCATGAATGGTGTAGAATTTACGAAGTTTTTAAAGAATGATTTTGTATGTATTTCATTTATTAGACCATGATAATGATGGTTAATGATTCCAATTCACAAAGACATCATCGCACTTGAAGAACACACCCGTAACGTAACATGGTCATACCAAAGGCAGTTATATTTATGAAGGGTCGTCTTTCAGTACCAAATGTTTTTTTGTTTATTGGCTACAGATTCGTTTATAAAAAGCCGGATCTTTTTATATCCACTGATCAGTGTTTCGATTTGGTTCTTTTTGCAATTAATCAGCGAATGTTGTAGAATAGAAGTTTTTAAAGAATGATTTTGTATGTGCGTATGATGTAAATCATAAATTAACATTTCGGCAGTTAGTATTTTTCAATTTTTGGCATCCAAGATCGAAACTTCTTTGTCCATTTCTCAGGCTATCATGCGTAACGGATTCCCCACATGTCGTCTTCAGTTGTACAGGTGGTTATCCATTCTGGCGAGCAGTTGGCCACGAAGGGGATGGTTCCTTTAGGTACCTACGACTTCCATATGTCGTTCTTTGAGATTAAAAACATCAAAATTACCGTACACTAGAAAGTGCTTCACTTATTTTCTGTGCATACATATATTATGCGTCTTGATGTTTGGGTCTTTTTCCGTATTTTGTTTGGATTTTTGCTCTTCATGCTCGAAAGCTTTTCTTCATGGTTTTTAATGTGTTGTAGACCTCGACGAGCGTGACATTAGCAGCGATCTCGTTCTACCAATAATAATTGGTCCATTGTACCTATCTGCTCTGCAAGTGCTTCGAATAAGTAGTAGTAGGTATGACTTGACCTGTTTTTGTTGTTAGATTTCATCGGATGAGGTTATCTGCCTCTGAACTATTTCAAACGCACAGGCATTGATGTCGTTCCATCCACGTGTCGTAATATTTACGCAGGTGTACGATAGATAGAAAATGAAACATTGCACATCAATTTCACATTATTTCTGTACGCACAGTTTCCACAAACGGAGCTTTGAGCTTTATGTTATTTTTAGAGGTTTGTATAGTATTTAGTAGTTTTTTCTTAAAAAGGACACTGAATGTAGTGTTTAAATACTTTATAAGGTGCTAAGGAATAACATTTTGATTTCTGCATCAAAGTTTGCAGCATTTTCAATAGATTGCATCAAAGTTTGCAGCATTTTCAATAGATTGCATCATTGTTTGCAGCATTTTCAATAGATTGCATCATTGTTTGCAGCATTTTCAATAGATTGCATCAAAGTTTGCAGGTTTTTCAATATATTGCTATTATTTTGTGGATTGATTCGTGCAGACTACATATATGTCGATGACGTTCTCGCAGTCTGTTAATAATTTTACAGTATCTTGAGTATATTAGGTAGTAAATAGGGATGCCACCTTTTCAGGCTTTACATAAAGTATTTCTCGACTAAAAGGTTAAAAAAAAAGTACTCAGCATAAAAATAAAGTATTTTATTTTTGTTTTTAAAAACATATTTTTTGTTACACCTAGCAGCCAGTAACAAATTGCTGTCGCTAATAGCCTCTAAACATCGCAAACAAAGATTTAAGTAAACTAAAAGTTCATTTTTAATTAGTTTCAATGAAGCTTTATTCCTCTCGTCCCGCCACTTTGTGTTCATAACAGAGAATACTCTTTCTGTAAATGCTGAAGTGGCCGGAACGGACAGCAAAAGTGACACTACTTTGAACAGATTTGGGAAACCAGGTTGTAACGTAAATATGGCTTGCTATTTTTTCTGTGCAATATTATTGATGTAAAAATACTATGAATTTCGAATAATCGCTTACAAAATTACGTTGTTTACTTAAGGCCTTAAATAAAGTATTTTTGCGTACTTTACGTGTCTTGTAAAATATAACGTACGCAGTCGAAATAGAGTACAGTACTTTATAATAAAGTACGGGTGGCAACCCTAGTAGTAAATAAAATGGTTTGCGTCTGAAAACTTAAAAATATTTTTCTGTTGTTTCAGATATCCTTTCAACGATTCCGAACATGCGTCGTTATTTGCGAAAATTTCGCGAGGTCATTTTTTAATACCGGAGTGTCTGTCGCCGAAAGCTCGGTGTTTGATTCGGTCGTTATTGCGAAGGGAACCGTCAGAACGGATTTCGTCGGAGGATATTTTGTTTCACCCGTGGATGGTGCGAGAAGACAGGGATTGGCAGTCGAGAGCCTGTGATCAGCTAGTGCCAGAGATTAGTTTATACGACGAGGACGAAGACTAAAAGCCGAAACTAATTATGTATGTTAACTAATCAACAACTACTACTACTACTACTAATTATTATTATTATTATTATTATTGTAATTGTGCAAAGTTGAAAACGTGCTGTGTATTTAACTAGATTTTTATTGCATATTTGGGCCATTTGTTAAGTTTCTTATTTGGTACGTGTCTCTTTTTTTGTACGGTTCTTCCCTCCGTCTTGGTGGCAGATTGTCATGTTTTTTTTTTATTATTTGTTAAAATATTACAAGATACAAGACTGATTTCTGTGTTAAAAAAACAATAACACAGCTTAGAATTGTATTTTTATCGTTAAATGTTCCAAACTTTTAACTACATGTTAAATTTCTACCTATTTTCGTACAAACAAAATTTGTTACCATTCTCGATAATGATTGAATCGAGTTGGCTTTGGTAACCTGCGGCACGCAGGCGGATACAAGGGGTTGCAGCGGAGGGGACGGCGCCTAGAAAAGCGTCCCCTAGGGGAGAGGTGAGGTCTAGAAACCAAAAGAATGAAGTCAGTTTTTGAAATTATTCCATAAAATACATATTAATATCCTTAATTCAACAATCAGGATCCCCTGTCGGAGGCATGATAGGGGGGTACAAAAGGGGGAAGAGGNGTTTGCAGCATTTTCAATAGATTGCATCAAAGTTTGCAGCATTTTCAATAGATTGCATCATTGTTTGCAGCATTTTCAATAGATTGCATCATTGTTTGCAGCATTTTCAATAGATTGCATCAAAGTTTGCAGGTTTTTCAATATATTGCTATTATTTTGTGGATTGATTCGTGCAGACTACATATATGTCGATGACGTTCTCGCAGTCTGTTAATAATTTTACAGTATCTTGAGTATATTAGGTAGTAAATAGGGATGCCACCTTTTCAGGCTTTACATAAAGTATTTCTCGACTAAAAGGTTAAAAAAAAAGTACTCAGCATAAAAATAAAGTATTTTATTTTTGTTTTTAAAAACATATTTTTTGTTACACCTAGCAGCCAGTAACAAATTGCTGTCGCTCTTAAATATATTAATAGCCTCTGGACATGACAAACAAAGATTTAAGTAAACTAAAAGTTCATTTTTGATTGGTTTTAATGAAACTTATTTATTCTTAAAGTCCCACCACTTTGCGTTCATAACAGAGAATACTCTTTCTGTAAATGCTGAAGTGGCCGGAACGGACAGCAAAAGTGAAGCGATTTAGGAAATCAGGTTGTTTCGTAAATATGGCTTGATGCTGCTGTTACAAATTTTTTCCCTAATTTGATTTAAATGGTTTCCATATTTATGGTTTCAGTAATTACGTTGTTTACTTAAGGCCTTAAATAATGTATTTTTGCGTACTTTATGTGTCTTGTAAAATATAACGTACGCACAGTCGAAGTAGAGTACAATACTTTATAATAAAGTACGAGTGGCAACCCTTTTTTGTAATTATCCGAGGGTAATACCCTATATCAGCCTTTCTTATACTGCGTTCCCGCGGAACCCCGGGGTTTCGTGGAGATCATTGAAGGGATTGCCTTTTTTCATAATATTTACGACAAAACAATAAAATTAACGCCCCTTGAAATTAAAAAATGGAAGTTCAATTAGCCATTTCAATTAATGCCGAATTGAATTCCTTTGCAGTTTATAATATGAATAATTGTAACAAAAAGACTATGTTACCATTTGTGACCGGTCAATAGGTACGAAAAAAATTAATGCCGCAGCATAATAATAGGTACCGGGTTTTTGTTCCTCCAAGCAGCTGAATGTGTTTTCGAATTGATAAATTATGGAGGATAAAACGGATTAAAAGACTCGTTAAAATAATTTTGTACTTTTTATAACCGGTTGCGTTTCATTTTCAGACTCAATTACTTATCTCACATTTAACGATTGATGGTGTTCACACTTTGGAACAAACAAAATTCGTATTAATCGTCAATCTCATTGTGCCACAGGGTTTGTCACTGCCAAACCAAAAGATTAAGAACTCATTTTACCTGTTTATGGGTTGGCTCGAATGTTAAAAATTTATTATTATTGGCACATGCACAAACTGATAATACAAAAAATATCACGTTATCAAGTAGGCGTATTCACTACAATTATAAACGACCTAATAGAAGGTGAACAGCAATTACGATAAGAAATTGTTGTTTATTTGGGCTGTCGATTAATCATTGTCGCAGGGGCTAAATGTCAAGCGCGTATCATTAATAGGAAGCGAAAAAATGACACTATGCATAAGACTGAGCACCGTCAATCGACCAGCTTCTGGTTTTATATACTGTACAGAACATAGATATCTATAAAGAGTTTCGGAAGCATTAATAGTACATAATTTAAATTTACGCCTGAAACACACCAGTCCGGCTAAGATCCGACNAAATTAATTTATTTTGTATGTAGGTCGGGTTATAACAGGCGGGAGCCTTTTTTTACCACTCTTCCTCCCTCTAAGATACTTCTTAGGGATTTTCCGTAAATTATGTAACGTTAATAAAAGAGGGGTGGGGGGGCAGTTCAGCCAGGTCAGGTAAAAAAAGTGATGTAACTCTCGTTACCTAATTTATAGACAGTCCCTTACGTATTTTATGATATTATATTAATATTTTTTTGTGGTTTTCGCTCTTTTCCGTTTTCGAGTGAAGCTTTTCTTAATCTTCCCTCTTTCCTTCACCCTTCCCGTATGCTGTTATTCCGCAGGTTATCAAAGCAACCCTTTGAATTAAATTTCTATTTAGGTACAAATATTTTAATTTTTTTTTAATTTTCAAACGTTTCAGCGTGCATTGTTTCCCTTATACGATGCAATATAATGAACTAATTATGTAGCTGTTTTATCGTGTCTTTGCCATTCATCTACTACTCTATTATTTATTAGAAAATAATAAAACGTCTTAATTCTGGTGATTGTACAATAATTGTTGTCTTTTCGGCTACAGGTACAGTTTTTCGTATTTATTATTGATTTTTAATCGTTTTTGTGATACTTAGCGGTGTAGTAACACCGCTATTGTCGTATGTGGTAATTATTGAGGAAGTAATTGTAAAAGAAACGTGATGCACTCTCGGTACGTATCAGGTAGCTGTAATGTGATCTCTTAATTTTAGTACGTTGAGTTTGGCCTCTGAACTGAATTTGTACATTTTTTTTTCTCCCCCTAATTTATGTTTGTAGGCTTAGTAATACAAACTTGTAAATGTTGTACATAGAAACACGAACGCATTTCGAGGATGTCTGTCGTTGGTGGTTATGTTGTCGATGATAATAATAAAAAAAAAATCATTATTTAAATGTCTTGTTTTATTGACTATTTGCCCAAAAAATTGGTGACGATTTAACCGAAAAAGGTAAGTGAGTGGTTTATTACGTCTTGAGATAAAATTGGTCTTATTTTTAGTCTTTGTCTTGCATTTTCGTAAGACCAACATCAAGACTACAAGATTAAGACTAATTTTGCTCATTACTAATTTGTAATATAATATTGTTATTGCTAAAGAATAGTTTAGAAGTGAATATTAATGCTCAATTAATAAAAATAAATGTGAGGTTAATTCTGCATGGTAAATATAGGAATCGGAGGAATTTTGAGACGGCTTTGCGTATGCGCAACTATTTTTACTTAAAAGGTATAAAAAACGTTCGCACCACGATTCGTAGATAACGATTAGTGACGATGTTTGCCAGATGTGTTCTCGGCTTTACCCGAATGCAGCATATTTCTGAAAAAAAGTGTAAAGGACATTAAAGGTCACAATTCAGAATACTTTCTAGAACAATCGTCAGTATTCCTTCGGATGTTTGTGTGATGAATTACTGCAGTCTTTTCTGCAAAACTACCGTGTAAATTGATAAAACGAAATTTATACTTTTGAATTTGTCTTTATGTCGGTAATTTAGTGCCTTTTGCGTTATAGTGCTACTTAGATTATTGTATATATCGCGTAATTAAGTAAAGAATACGGAAATAATTTTCGAGATGTGCAGTACAGTGCCGTGCGTACGTAAAACGGTTTATATCAGTGGATGCGTTAGCGGGTCGGACATTACCATATTGACGAAAGTACATAATGAATCGGTGCGTGGAACCAAAAACTTTGATCGAGATGACTCACAATCGTCATTATTACTTCCAACAGCTCATTAACTTAACCCGAATGACCATGGGATAGGTTGGGCTACTGCAGATGGGAAAACCATAATAGCCATTGTTTGTCATGATGTTGAAAGGTATGTATGCTTTTGGAATATGAATTTACTAAATTAATTGTTACCTGCTGTCTGGAAATGTAATTAACTATAAGGTACAAGTAGATACGCCTAGGAAGGACGTAAAATAACTTACTATAAATTTGGATAGATTGGAAAGCATTGTCGCTGATATTTTTTAACTTTTTATATACAGTGTAAAGTCTATATAACGACACTTGAGGGACTGAACGTTTTTCGGCGTTATAAAGAGTGGTCGTTAAATGGAGAGAAATAAAAGATATTATTTTACTATCCTATAATAATATGCATTTACCAATACAGTATACATTTTGCACACGAACATTATTATTCATGCATTGCGTATAGCCTGTTATCTTCGTCTGATGTTATTTGCTGCTCCAATATTTTAATTGTATTTTGTTACGTATCTTACTCATATCTTGAGATACTGCTGGATCAATTTGATTATATAAAAAGTATTTTTCTAATAGTTTCGCTGCATCAAGTGATTGTTTGATGCTTGGTGGAGGGACAGGATCGTCTTCTTCAACAATGTACAAAGCTGCAGTTCTTATCTATTTCGGCAACTTAGAAAGTACTGCTCAACGATTTATAATGCCGCATTTTGTCGTTAAATAGAGTGAGCGTGACGCTATATAGAGTGTAATATTGTATAGAAAACAATGTAAACCAACCAAAGTCAAGCAATTTCGACGTTTTAAGGAGTTTGTCGTTAAATCGAGTGACGTTATAAAGAGTTTACACTGTATTTTTGATTTTGGGTACGAATTTCCAAAGGATTGAACTTATCACAATGACCACATCATCACACTATGGCATCTGAAGATGCCACAGTGTTTTGAAATGGTTACAGTGGTCAAAACAAATAAAAGAAGTAATCAGAAACATTTTTTCTTGAGTTTCACTGGACGAAAAATGATTTTTATTTAATGACGCATAAATATCAGGTAGTTTGAACGAATATAGAGCTTTTGGTGGTGGCACCTCTGTACTCTCACTATCAGATAAAACAATTAAGTTAATATGATGTACTCATCAAGTAGATTTTATATTTTATCTTTAATTTATCGAAGCTTTCTTAAACTTCTTCTAAGAACTAATATATATCTGTCTGAAAGCCCAAAATTAGGATTCACAGAACTAGTGAGTTTGGTGAACTTCTACCAATAACTTATTCTTCTTTATCAGTTTGGTTTGCGTTTACTATTATTAGGTGAAAATCAGTAGATGTTTATACGTATAATTAACATAGCAGAACGTAAAAGTTCCTTACTTTAACAGATCGAAATTAATTTTACTACGCGAGTCGGCGTGAAGATTAATTATCACAATTTCTAAACGATTTTTATGACAAATACGCACACGACTAT